CCCTAGAGGAAGAAAATTCATATGTGAGGGTGTGGGGGCTAATTTATCATCTCATCTTTTTACATCTTTAGAAGCACTTTTCTCTTTTAAAATGCCTTGTTTTTTGCACTTTGATTGCAGGTGCACGTTTTGCCTCATGAGATGCTAGGCAGATCAACTTTTGGATTGTCCCTGTGGTTGCTCAAGTGGTTCCCTGTGCGACTCGTCGACCGATTTTTGCTTTACGTGTCACGTTTCATGCTCGGAGACACTAAGAAGCTCGGCCTCCATCGGCCCAAGATCGGCCCTCTCGAGCTCAAGAGTCGATCCGGCAAAACACCTGTTCTGGATGTCGGGACACTGGCCAAGATCAGGAGTGGACACATCAAAGTAATTTTGTTTCCGATAACATGCACATTTTAACCGTATATGTTTAGATTCATTTTCTAGAATTATAATTAAACGTAATTTGTTTATGCAACGTGTATAGGTTTATCCAGGAATAAAGCGAATATCATACCATGCCACGGAATTTGTAGACGGGACAAAGGAAAATTTTGATGCCATCATCTTGGCCACCGGTTACAAAAGCAATGTACCACAATGGTTAAAAGTAATCATACTCATGTCCTTTTAAAATTTGATTATATACAAACTCGAATTTTAATTTACGAGTAGTTAATCAATTGGACTGATTGATATTTTATTCGCTGATTAGGATAAAGATTTGTTTTCAGAGAAAGATGGTATGCCACGGGAGCCATTCCCCAATGGTTGGAAAGGTGAACGTGGATTGTATGCAGTAGGGTTTACAAAGCGTGGATTGTTGGGGGCTTCCTTCGATGCAAAAAATATAGCTGAAGATATTGCCCTTCAATGGAAAGCATATTAGTCGAACTGAAAAAATTACCTAGGGTTAGGTTGTTTTAAGTGGTATTTGTCAACTAAGTTAGAACTAGCTAGTTAAGCTTTTTCCAAGGGTTTTTAGGACATATTGACCTTCATCATTGTGTGGATATCTTATAAATATCCCAGTTTTCCATAACCAAGTAGTTTCTTCTTTTAGAGTAGGGTTTGTTGGTATATCATTGATAAACCATCCAGCTCAGTTGGTAGAGCACAAGGCTCTTAATTTTGAAGTCGTGAGATCGAGTCCGTCCCACGGAGGGTATTTCATAATTAGAAGGTCTCCTACGGAAGTTGCTCTCAACCTGGCGTTAGGGGCAGCCTACTATCCTACCTCCCCCTTACCCCATTACATATGTGAATAAGTGTCAGCTAATTTTTAATTTTTTTGTTGGTCTATCATTATCTTATATGTTGTCAAAAAGTGATATTTTATGTAATAAATTTTGAATTATTATTTGATATATAGTTCGTGTAAATTTTATTTTATGTAATTTTTCTATTAAAATTGTAAATTTTGAATGTTGGAGTCCATGCCCAACCCATATTTTTAAACATACCTAATTTTTTGTACAAGTAATTTTCTGGACCAAATATTTGTATCTAAATCCTTCTAAACTTCGATTGGACCTTTGAATTATTATTTGATATATAGTTCGTGTAAATTTTATTTTATGTAATTTTTCTATTAAAATTGTAAATTTTGAATGTTGAAGTCCATGCCCAACCCATATTTTTAAACATACCTAATTTTTTGTACAAGTAATTTTCTGGACCAAATATTTGTATCTAAATCCTTCTAAACTTCGATTGGACCTTTGGGTTTGAGAATGTAGCTCGATCCTTAAACATGTTCATAATTACACGGTTTGATTCATGGTCAAATTCTATTTTTGGTCCTAATATGTTAATTAAATAAATCAGATTGAGCAGGTAGAGAGAGATATGGTATGAGCAGCTCGCATGGTCCAGACGACATGTGATAGCCACATACGATAGAGCATACAAGTAACGACTCACCAGACCCTAAGCCCCCCAAGCTTACGTACACATGGTGCACAGCTTTCCCGTGGGATGTGGACCATCTAAAACTAAATATTGCAATGATGGATTTTAACTGCTTTTATGGCTTCGTGGTCCTATAATTCATGCATGACACTACTAGTAACCCTCTTATTTCTATTCTTATTTCTCCATCCCAATGGACCGTTTTCCATTATTATGATCAAATGCACAATATCATAGCTGTTGTACTTTTTGATATGTTATTTTATCAAATAAAATATTCAATGACGGATCCAGAAGTACTTTTAAACTTTTGGAGTGAACTTATATATTAACATCACAAAAAGGGAGATGTTTAAATCTTGAAGAACAAAAGAGTGTTGTTAATATGCCATGAGTTATCAAGAAGTGTTGCGAGTAGTGGTAAGACTCATTGCATTCATAATTATTAAGAAGATATGAAAAGACATTGTTGGGAGATACAGTCTCGGGACCAAAACATAAACCTAAAGCATATATGAAAAATATCAACATATATACGTGTATATGATGAGTTAAAAGAAGCTACTTAAGCCCTAGTTTTTTATATTGGGTACCTTTTAAGATTTAGAGCTGATCTAGTAGGGATAAGAGAAAAGGGTATTGGCTAAACTTTCACTAGTTCAATGTATCTTTAAAGTGTGGGACAATGTCCCTTAACACTGCTAAACAAATTCTATTTAAAATCGAGATATGGGATTCAAGGTAATCTATACTTGAATTCCAGGGTTGTGTTCCTCCAGTGTAAAGAACAATCTCCCTAGCCAAATCTATGCACTGAGCGAACAACTAGGTATTCAGTATGTATAGTTATGTTGTACATGTATCGGTGTATGCACTTTAATTATTACGTAGATGAAAGGGCCAAGACACGCAGGCGCTGGCGAAGAAGAATTATAGCAGATCATGACTCGTCAGAAGCATTAGGCCAGTGTATGGCGACTTTATATTTATAAAAAGTGATAGCCTGCACTTTCCTCTTAGCAAAATCTCCTCTCTCTTTTTTTTCTGTACTACCATGTGATCTTCCAGCTCTTGCTCGTGCCCATATATGGTTTAGGTATCACCAATTAGCCAACTAAACTAGCTACCATTAAACTAACTCTCATACCTACGTATCATTAATTAGATGAACGATTGATGAGACTCAGACTTTAATGTTTACTAAAACATTAATAAATCCTAATAAATTGAATTAACCCATATTCGTATTACCTCCATCGTCTTTGAAACACATAATTCAATTAACATTTCGTTATCAATGCATAATTATTTCTTATAAGCAGTCGCTCAACGATAACACTTGCATTTTATGGAGTAAATGAATGATTAATGAAATTCATACTTATAAAAAATTTTACTAATTCGATTGCTTAAAGGTAAGAGAAATGTGAATCCCATTTGATCATCATTATCATCACCTTTTGTATCTTTTTAGTGCAAACTAGTCCTTCTTACCTTATTGTTGGGATCTCACGTGGAATCTGCAAGGAAAAGAAAGCTACTAATTATAAGGTACAAAATCCTCTGCAACATTTCGGATTCCATGTCTTAAAGGTTTCCATTTCCAGCTTTAGTTTGGGTTTTCATTTTTCCATGAGAAAGTGGGAATTTGAGAATGGGATCCACCTAACGGATGAGTGGGATTCAGATAGAAAGATTCTTTATTCTTGCATCTTTTTAAAATACATTAAAATATCATTAAATATAAATTGTTTTTCTTGGAAAAGATGGCATATATGTTACCATTTACTCAATGATACTCAATGACAATTACATATACGAATAGAAAGAAGTTTGAGTTACACTTGAGGTAGCTAAGGACAAAACTATGATTTCAGTTGTAATCACAATTTTTTAACGGTAATGTGTAATCACGAAGTATTATTTGTTCATAATTTTCTGTTAACCTTTGATAAATGCACACACACTCACAGACATAGCTACTTGAATCCACAACCTCTAGAGAAAACAATACTCTCTTTGACCATTAAGGTCACTTGATTTTTTCACTCTAATCACATTTCTCCTTCAATGCCCTTTCTCTAATTATTCCATTTCAATCATATGAAAACAACATCATAATTATTTTTAAATGGCGTACTACTTCCAAGAATGGATTGAAGAGGATGTTTTAGGACGGTTGCATCTCCTGAAAATTTTAAATTTTTGTATTTTTTTTCGATGTTTTCTTTTGATGTTTTAGTTTTACATTTTCTGATTTTATTTTATTTTGTACCTCCTAAAATTTCTAGTATAATTTCCTAAAAGTTCGCACATACAACTTAAATTATATGTTCTCATGAACGGACTCGAGATTTTATGAGAGAGAGTGAACTTATAAAATTTTAGAGGATGAAAACAAATTCTCAATAAAAAACACATAAAAAATCTAAAATATAGAAAAAAATTAAAATTTCAAATCAACTAATATATGAGAATTTAAAATTTTCAAGAAGACGAATTTTCTTCGTTCACTTCGTTTAAGGATGATTGTATGTTCCTCCTTAACTACTTCACATAAGAATCATTAATCAATTGAATAAAATTGCCGACATAAATCAAACATGATTTGGGGCCATGATTGCTTACTGGGTCTCAATATTTAGGGCTTTTTATTTATTTTTGTTTAGGATTTGATTTTAATTTTGAGCTTTGATTTAGTTATTGGGCTTTAAGAAGACTAAATGGGTTTGATTTTAATTTTAATTTTGTTTTGGATTTTATTTTATTTGACCTTTTTTTTTAATTTTCATTCCCTTTGTTTTTATCTATTTTCTTTTTTTGTATGCTTATTTTTAACATAAAATTTGAAAAGTAATAATAAGAGAAATGAAAGTGCAAAAGAAATCTTTGGACTGATTGTCTCGAGCCTCTGTGCCTAATTCGTGTACATGCGCGTGTATGTATCTGTATAAGTACGTGTATGAATATTTTAGATCGATTCGAATGAATATTTTTATCTTAAAAGTTGGACTGAATAAATATTCGTAAGTATGGATCAAATCGGATAACATATAGGATAATATTATATTTAAATTGAGTTCGCATCAAAGACCTTAACCCATGATCATCTTTAGATGAGAAACAGCAAGGCTCAACCAAACTGGTTGGTCATCGGAGCTTAATGGCAGGCTGAAAATGGACACTCAGTTGACACCATTACAGACGAATGACGATAGAACATAATCATTTGTTAAAGTTAAATCTCGTGTCCTGTCTCACAATCATGTCATAATTATAAATGGCATCATTCAAGGAAATTAAAACTAAAAACACACAAAGATACACAAAAGTAGGTACGACAATTTTAAATCTTGACCTGTCAGGGAAGAAAGAAATAATGATTGAATCAGGACCTCACCGAGATCGATACTTGGTCCTCGATTCCACACTCGAAGAACCCAAAGCTTCAAAATTTTCCGCATACATCTCCATGAAAAACTTGTCGACGATATCCAGATAAGTAGGACAAGTGAGTCGAGAATAATAATGGAGAATCTCTTGAATGTCGAGAACTTGATCCACATCGCTCATATCCATCATCTCCAGCTCCTTCAGCCTTCGAGCCATCAATGAACTCGTCTCATTTCTTCGTCTCTCACTCGAACTCGAACCAGAACCCTCTCGTGTTTTTCCCTTGTTCCCTTCCCTCAGAGTGAAAAGAATTCTCGTGTTCCGGTTGCCATTGTTGGTGTCCCACTTGTCTCGGGGACTCGTTTCTTGATTCATGTCGACGCCGGCGAAGGAATAAGGATTGTAAGGAGAGGTTTTGGGAAGTTTATGGTAAGGCTCGGTCTCGGTGCCGGTGAACAAAGACTTGAAACTTCGTAGGGTTCTTTGAAAGAACCTTTTGGTGTTGGAAATGGGATTTCTAAGCAGCATTGGCTAATGATCACTAAAGGTTCCAATGGGGTGAAAATTTTAACTATTTTCCTTTGGTGAAGACAGATATTATAGAGGAGGGGGCCTTAAAGGAGGGATAAGCAATGAAAATTAAGGCCGAAGGGTCCTTTATTTGCTTTGGGGCTTCCTTTTAACCTTATTCGTTGTCTTCACGTTAGGGTGCCCTTAGGGTTTTGTCCTTTTGGTGACCAAGAGAGTACCCCCCACAAGGGGCCTAGCTGATGATCATCAAACGTTTTGTTTTTATGGAAGCTTTTGTGATGTTTTCTTGCTCATTAATATAATTATAATAATAGTAATTTAAGGATATGATATTGTTGTTTCTTGGGTTTTACTTTTGATGGTGGGAGTTGGTGGGGTGTTGTAGCCTCTTTTGGAGGAAGAAAGATAAGCGGCGGTTGTTGAATTGGAGCTCTCCGCCATTTTCTCCGCCCATCACTTCTAGAATTTATGATAAGAGCAAGGCTTCGGCTCTGATTTTCCACATATGATGAAGATGGTGATGGTTTATTGTTGGCATTAGAATCAACGTTAGGTATAAATATGTATTTTTACCAACAACTATTTGATCATGTAGAATGAGACACTAAATCCTTTAAATAAGGCCGTGAGTTAAATTTCAGTGTTTACGGAATAAACTAAATTAGAAGGGTCATCATCGCCTACCCAATCCAAATCAGTCGATGATAATTATACCCAAAAGAAATATGTATTTCATATATTCAGAAACAATAATATTATTAATTGAATATTAATTCAATGGATATCTTTTTGATTTAGAAATTTTGCAATAATGAATTTAGATATTATATAAAAAAATGATTTTGGATTTGAGTATTACGATAAAAATAAATAATATTAAAAGAGATTACTTTTTTTATGGTAAATTAAGGAGGGCGAAATCAATAAACTAACGTCTCAATCGGACATAAGGAGGTCAATACACTAACGTCGCATCCAACAATATTTTTAAAGGTAAATGAACCCATGTTAATAATATAAAATTTCAGAATGAGATAAATACAAATAAAATTTTAAGATGAAGATCATCACTAAAACAAATAACTAGCTTTACCCACCTTCAAATACATATGGATTCACTACTGTTTCAAGCATGCACAGTTCAATCCTTGGGATTAGACACAAATATATAGGGTAAGCTACATCACTCATCATTTAATTATTTATAAATTTAAGTTTCGATAATAGAGTTATAAAAAGTTACAATCTTAATAATATCAATGATTATTTGTATATTTTTTTTAATGATTTTATGATGAAAACATTAGCTTACTAATAATAATCAGAGATGACATCTAGTGTAGTTTACCCATATTTACAAGATTGACATAACATCTAAACCTTAGGATTGGACATAGATATATACACACATGTAATGTGTATTTTAGATTTTAGAATTATAATTTTTATTTTTAATGTCGCATGTTTTATTTAATGTTAGTATTAGAGTTTTAGATTTTATGATTTATGTTTAAAGTTTAAGATTTATGGTTTGGATGTTAGAATTTAAAGTTTGAAATTAAAATAAATAATATATAAAATAAATTTTGTACATCCTGTATATTAAACAATACCCATATATATAGGATCAACATAAGGTCCTATGATAAAAAGGTCAAATTATGCTTTAAGTCTATCTTAAAAATTAGTAATTCAATTTAGTTTAACATGAAATTTTATTCTTTGATCACATAACAATTTATATTTTTATATTAGTAAAAGATTTATTACTTTGAACGGATACTACCTTGTACCTTGTATTTACTACAAATTAATTTTAAAAAACTATAAAAGTTATTTTTTTCTCTATCGAAGTTTATACAACCATTAATAAGTTTATGTTTTGATTATCGAACTATAAAAAAATGATATCCTTACCTTTCTCCCATCAAAATTTACACAATTATTAATAAATTTATATTTTAATCATTGAACTATCTCTACTAATAATTTGACGACTCTTTAACTTAGTTTACCTATACATATAATCCTAAGACGTAGATCCTATCATGGATAAAACTAAGGGAGTGGGAGCGGGATAGGTCCCTCCAAATGTTTGAGCTAATAGTAATTTAAGTCCTTATAAATTCATATATTAAATAAATTATAATTTGTTTCCTCAAAATTTGAATTTAAATATTTAATAATTAAATTACTATATTTTGTGTTCGGATCCTATATTATTTTAGATGTCAACCGGATGGAATACATAGGATAGTTGAAGGATATGAGATAAGTGCACACAATTTACCTCGAAGATTCATTGTTACAGTCTCCTAACTAAAAACGTTAAAGAAAAACAAAAGGAAGAGGATGGTAGTGCTTACTTGACATAGCGGCGGTGATAGAGACCGGGGAACGACTTGTTGAACCGACCAACAAGCCAACTGGAACTACAAGTCTAATATGCAACCAAGATGTAGACAGTTGAGTTGTTGTGCAAGGATGGGTTAACCACGTGCAATCTGCCACGTCTTGTTTAGGGTTGGAACCAGTCTTTGTCTATTGCCACATGCTCTCCAAATTCAAAGGCTTCTTCAATTTCAAGACTAGACTCTACGCTTCTTTATTAAAACTTGTCAAATATGCACCTTTTTTCCCCCTTCTATAACTTGGCTCCCTAAAGTTCTAAAAGGCTTTGCTACCTACCCTTTTCCAGGACAATATTCCCCAAACTATAACAATAAAATCGGACTTCATTTGAGAAGGCATTCCATATTCGAATTCGAACTCGAACCTTAGAGGCTAAAGAAATTTCTGCTTAAAGAAAAGGGGAGGCTAAAGAAACGTAGCATATCCAATGGGTTTATTGCAATGCCACATAAAAAGAGGGTTCCATTTGAGTTTAGGGTTTAAGTTAAGATAGTAAGAACCCCAAATTCACAAATTACAATAAGAAAGCAACCACTTTCCATTCCATATTTTTAAGAGGAGGGTATCGTTTGAGCTAAGGATTAAGAAATTTGTTAGTATCCTTTGAGGTTTCAGGTTCGAGCACCGTGTACATGGATATAAGCGTTATTATCAAAGTTGAGAGAGTATTTGAACAAATATTACCTTATAATTACTTCAAATTTATCAACAACAAAATCCAAACCACCATTTCCTTTTACTTTTTTGCATGTTTGGACACAATAACATAATTATAAGAAAATACATTGATTTTTTTTAAAATATATATTAACTAAAATATATTTTTATATCTTAACCTCTTATGTCAAGTTTAATGGTAAAATTTATAATTACATGATTATATAAATTAAAATTTTAAATTAAATATTATTTGATACGCAAATTATGTAACCTTTTATTACACAACTTATATATTTTAGTCTTAGAAATTAAAATATAAATAATTCATACCCTTAAACCTTAAAACCTTAAAATCTAAATCTTGTACTTAAACCCTAAACCCTTAAATAGACATCCTAAAGCCCAAAATAAAGAAGATTGTATAAACTAAAACCTACACAATTTGTGGGCAAAACTCACGAGATAATGTGTTGGGAAATTTTATTTCACGAGATAATTCTTCTCATATTAATTGTTGAGATAGGGCGAATGCTACAGTCCCCGTCGTTGGTCGCCAAGTGCTCAGAGATGCTTTGGAGGTCGCCATGTATACCAGGCGAGGAAGGAGGACGCACAATGCCCTGGCGACCAAAGGCTTTCTACAAAATAATTGCTCCTGGATTTTTTGGTGAATAATTGCTCCCCAGTCCCTGTACTCTTAAGACTTGTAATTTAGTGAATAAGTATTCAAATGATAATGAACACTTCAAATTTAGTAGAAATTAATTAATAATATTATCAATTAAAAGTTTAATTTTAAATCAGATAATTAAGTAGTTAAAAGCCCTGACTGAAAATATTTTGAAAATTTTAGTCATTTAAAATATTTTCAACGATCTAATTTAATTTTTAAAATATGTTTGATAATTAAAAGAGAAACTAATCTAATGATTTTTTTATGAAAAATATGGAGAATTATAAATATAGAAGAGTTTATTTATCACTTATTTTTAATAAATGTCATTTTATTTCATTTCATTTCATTTCATTTAAAATTTATATTTATCAATTAACTTGATTACATATAATACTTAATTTTAAATAAATTTTACAATTTGGATTCAATATTTAAGTTTTGAAAACTTTATTCAGTGCTCGAGTTTTCAATTTATCAAACATCTAAATTCTTGGGACTAAAGTAGAAAGACTAAAATACAAGTCTTAAGAGTACAGGGACTGGGGATCAATTATTCACCAAAAAATCCAGGAGGAATTATTTTGTAGAAAGCCTTTGGTCGCCAGGGCATCTGTGCGTCCTCCTTCCTCGCCTAGTATACATGGTGACTTCCAAAACATCTCTAAGCACTTGGCGACCAATGGCGGGGACTGTAGCATTCGTCCTATCTCAACAATTAATATGAGAAAAGCATTATCTCGTGAAATAAAGTTTCCCAACACATTATCTCCTGAGTTTTGTCCAATTTGTGTATCAGATAATTTTTTTAAAAATAATATTAATTATAAAATTAAAGAATATAATTACACATGTAATTACATTATTTCTCATCCTACTTCCCAAGAATTGAAGAGTGTAATTGAAAACTTTTAATTACACCTAATATAATAGGACTCGCAATTATAATTGTCGATCAAACATACTATATTTATGTAATTACACGTAATAGGACTCGCAATGTTGCATAGCTTTCAAGCCCAACGGACGAACAATGCAAAACAAAAAATAAAGGGCACATCCAAGTCCAAATGCACAAGTCCCATTCTCTGTATTTCGTTTATTAATTTAAGATAATTATAAGATAATGTTATTTTTATATATATTTTTTTTAATTTTGACACGTGTTAATGACTTTTGAAAATATATTAAATTATAAAGTATAGAGAACAAAATTGTATTTGATTTATGACAGGGGAGCCGGGTGGGATATGTTGTTTCTTCTTTTGCAAACCATCAAATTGAATTTTTCTTGGAAGACTTTGGTTAGAAGGTTCACAATGATCCATCCATGCAAGAATCTTTACCCATTCACTTTATAATTTCAAAGTTTGATGCTTTATGTTTATAATTTTCAAAACCCCCAAATAAATGTTTAATGTTTCTGAATAAAATTTAATATGACATGTTCTTAATAAAATTTCGTGGAGACAAAAAACTGCATGACAATCAAATTCATGTTAGAAGATGATAAAAACAGTATGGATATGGATCAAAGTTAATCTCATTTCAACGTTAATAAGAGTTATAACCCTAAAAAAACTACAACTGCAGCTAAGTTTCTCAAGAGCATTGTTTTGAAACCGGGACCGGTTGATTCGGGAACCACTGTCTAGTCCGGTTCAATCTACACTGGTTAAACCGCTATTAGTGAACCGGTCGGAACCGCTGAACCGTTCAAACCGGGCCGGCTAAAAACCGGGAAAAACCGCTAATTTTGTTTTAAAAAAAAAAATTAAACCAAACAACGTCGTTTGTTAAACGAGCCAAGTCGAACTCGAGTATTGTTGAGCTCAACTCGAACTTTAAAACTTTAAAAGTAAGCTCAACTCGACCCAAACTCACGAGCTAAAAATTATCAAGTTCAACTTGAACTCGAAATATAATATTGAAACTTAAACTCGAAAAGGCTTGAACTCAAAAAAAATTTAGAAGTTCGATTGAAGCCTAAAATTGGAGCTTGATTGAAGTGAAATAATAGTTCACTCAATGCTCACCAAAAGGCTCCATGATTTTAAATGTCAAATCACCTCTATTATTTATAGAAGTTGGTTGGGATGCACTTCTATGTTTCTTAGCTATGTGAGATTATTTTGTTATCATATTTTTACTCTTTAGACTTTTGGTATGCTCTTCTATGTTTCTTAACCATGTGAGATTGTTTTTAAAAAAAATTAAACCAAACAATATCATTTTGTTATGATTTTTTAGCCCCAAATTTATTTTTTAATTATAGTTATATTTATTATTTAATATGTTTTAACTTAATTATTATGTTGTAGTTAATTTGAATCATTTTGTTTTACTTGATTTTATGGTTTTTAACTTATATATGTTATGACTTGTTTTGAATATGACTTGTGATATAAAAAATTATTTTTTATTAAATATTTTTGGTATTTTTATTTAATTTTTTAAATAATTATGATGTTGTCCGGTTTTTCCGATCAGTCAGACTGATTCGATCGGTTGAACCAGTGAACCGATAGCATGATCGGTTCGCTAACCGGTCCGGTTATGAAAACCATGCTCAAGAGCATGCAGAAGACAAACAAAGTGAAAGAGTTTACCTCTTGTTCTTGTCGAGTTGTCGTTCTGCATTTTAAGACCAGTTTGAGAACAATGTCTTACAAATCTCTGTAAAAACCTCGAAGATAACCCTATGATGGTGATGAGAGTTTAACAAGTAACACTGCAACAGTTGTTCCGATTCTTTAGCTTCAAATATCTCTCTCTCAACGATCATCTCCACCATCGATGCCCTGAAATCAGTGTAGGGATCATCGGGATTTTTCATCACGGAAAAGCTGTCTTTTACTTTATTCCCGCTCTTAGCTCTTCTCCGGCTAGCGTTGTGCTTTCTCCGGTGATCACGATGTTGCTGCCACTCCGATGACGAGAGAGTCCTTGAAGAGAAAAGAGTCTCGGCTTCATCTTCGCTGCCAAACCACCACCACCCACGGCTACGGCCACCGTAATTAACACTTTCGTGATAAGATGAGTCGAAGAACATGGAATTAAACGACGTATTATTGCGTTTGACGTGAAACCTTTTCTTCTTCTTGTTTATAGCCGAGCTCTTCTTTTCTCGTATAAGAAGGTAAGAATCGATCCTTAGGTGGTTGCGACGACGACGACGACGGCTTTAACGACTGGAACTTGTGGTTTTCAAGTGACAAAACAACTTTTTCAGCGACGTCGGAAACGTTCCGGGTCCAGCACGAGCTAAACGAGGTCCGGAATATGCGAGAGATTCGGAGCTTGAATCGATTTTCCATCGCCGCGAACTGAGAATTTTGTTTTTTTTAAAGGGAGAGCGGCAGTCTGTGAAACGAACAAACAAATCTTATATATATATATATATATATATATATAGATTAGAAAATCGAATGTTGAAATGATTTTATAATAATATTATTATTTTTACTGAGTTGTATGATTGAATTTTTCTGTTGTTCGTTTTCGTCCATTTCTTTGTCCTTATCTATAGAAATTTTGGATTAACGACAACACTTTTTCAATTACTTTTTCATGAAGTCAAAAATGTTTTAATCATTAATTAATTGGATAACTTGAATATTTAATTCTTAAACTCTATACTTTTCTTAAATTAGTCCTTAAAATTACAATCTATCATACATTTTAGTCCTTGATCAACGACGAAGATAACTGTGGTGTGGAAGGTGCTCTGCCTCTCTAGAATTTTGGATTTAATTATTTTTAAATGTTTGGTTTATTTCTTTATTTTTTATATTTAAATATTTGTTAAGTTAATATTAATTTAAAATTATATAAATTAAGTTTATTTTTTAAAATATTTTTTTAAATTCTTATCCATTTTTAGAATTAGTCAAAATAGACACTATCCACCCATAGTTTTGAATTTTTAATCGATATATTTAACATCTAGACCATAAATTTTATTTTATTGAATTTTATAATTAGCCCTTTTTAAAATTTCATCTCGACTCAGTTCTTGTCCTTAATGGAATCCAAGTTAAAGGACCAAATTGAAAAAAAAAATGCTAAGTTTTAAGAATGTGGGTAGAAGAAAAGTTCATGGATCAAGTTGAAAAATATAATCAAATTTAAGTCCTAATATGAATCAAAATTCAAGTACCAAATTAAGAAATATTGTTTAGTTTAGGGATTAAGAGTTACTTTATACATTAATTAATATCTAGTGATATTTTTTTAAAAAAAATTGAGGTGAATACGAGGTAATATATATTCAAAGATTTTTAATCATTTGACAATGAACGAGCGTACTCTAGCATAGACGATGCTCGAATCCAATACCTTAAAAGATAACAACAATCTTTTAATCACCGATGTCATTTGATATTATTGATATTAAATAATGATGAAAATCAAATCCGCCAACTCTGTTATTACCTTTTTTTTTAAAAAAAAAATTAAATTCGCTAAGCCAACTAAAAGTTTAATTACTCAATTTGAATTTCACTTGCATTTGATAAGGCTATACCACGGTAGAGCCATAAATTTCATTAAATAAAATCAATAAATTTCTATAATTTGAGATTTTAATAAGAATTTTTTGATTTGTGATAATTTTTTTATAAAAAAATATTATTTTAATTTAAAATTATTGAATTTTTTAAAAATAATTAAGTAGAAATTTATATCAATTTTAACATTTTAGCAAACTAGGTTACTATTAACTAAAAATCAGTTGATCTAGTAGGATGAGGTATTAGATCAATTAAATAAGGTTAGAGATTCAATAAATTGGGTTGAGAAATTCACTCTCATCTTTACAATACTCCATATGTATTAATCGAATTAATAGATTAATACTAGTGATTATACTTTAAAAAAACTATGTTACTATTAACTCCTACTATGTATTTGACATAAAAATCAAATACTTTAAAATAATAATTCCAAAACATAGAGGACAAATCTGATAATATTAGCATCTTTTCGGTGTTTAATGCTAGAAGCTACCACAGCGATACACATATTTTGTCACCCTGTAAATTTCCATATTTGAAAGTTAAAACCAGCGGTATATATTTTTACTCAATATTAGATAGACTTTTACGTTAGACTTGATTTGGGTTAATTACCCTATTCATACCTGAAGTATACTTAACTCTTAATTTTATACATAATATTTAAAATTGTAACTAAAAAGAAGTCAAAATTTTAAAAATATTAACTACTAGCTAATTACAAAGAAGCCTTAGGAGGACTGTCTAAACTCATGCCCCAAGTGGCATGCACATGTCGGAGGAAACACTAGAACAAACCGATGAAGAAGTAAATCAAAATCAATGTTGATGGAACTTTCATGGCGTCCACCGAAGCTGCGGCTTACGGCGTAGTTGCAAGGGACCACCATGGCACGGTGGTAGGTGGGATCACTCGAAAGCTGGATGGACCACACTCGTTGAAACAATCGAAGCCCATGCTTTCACCGAGGGATTGAGAATGTCGTACGAAAATGGTTGACAACACGCCACGATGGAAGGAGATGCAATATTTATTGTGAACCGCCTGACCAATACATAATCAGACATCTCGATGATCGGATTGATACTCAACGAGTCTCGTTCTTTGTTCAATGAACCACTTGATCTTACGGTGCTTTATGTCAAATGAGAGACAACCCGAGTGACTCACACATTTATGCATTAAGCTTTGTTGAGGATCAATCATTGTTACCTTTAACTTGATGGATCAAAATATATTAAACATGATATTATTATTGATGTTATTGGCAATGAAATCTTTATTATATTTAAAAAATATATTATAATTCTCCTGTTGAATTTATTAAAGTGATATTTAAAGTATAAATATTAATTTAACAATCACGTAAAAAAACAATGTTATAATGAGTTTACATTTATTAGATAAATTTTATCATCTGTAGTAATTAGAATTATTATTTATTTTTACTTTTACACTTATAGTTTATATACCGAATTATTAATATAATTCTAAATATCAATGCAATACTTTATTTACAAAATTAAATACCTAAATCTTAGTCTTATTTATATTAATTCATCTATTATTTTTTCTCACGTTAATAATTTATAAGATATCATGAGATAAAAGTGATAAGGAGAGATAAAAGAGCACTTACGAATATACAAAAGATATTATACCAACATGAATTAATAGGCCGGTAAACGAACCGAACAAATATGAGATATGTATATGTTCATTCATTTAACTTTAACCGAACAAATGAACAAACACAAACATTAACGAACAAAAAATTTATTGTTCGTGTTCGTTCGTTAAGGAATGTAGTTTGTTCATGTTCGTTCATTTAAATGATAGACGAACATAAATGAACGAACAGATGCAAACGAACACAAACGAAAAAAACGTAAATGAACACAATAAATGAAAATAGATTTTTTTTCTTTCCTAACAATTTTAGGATTATATTTTATTTAATTGTTTTGGACTTTTTTTAATTTTATTTAAATTAATAGAATTTTAAAATATTTATGGGTATCATATTAAAATTCATTTTGATATTTTAAATAAGTCTAGAGAGATTGGACTAAACATAAATGAACGCACATAAACGAACATATTACTGAACATTCACGAACGTAAATGAACGAACGAACCCTCTGTTCGTGTTCGTTTATTTAATTAAACGAACACAAAATCCTATTCATGTTAATTCTTTTAATAAATAAATGAAATTCCCGCTGAACTGTTCACGAACGGTTCAGTAAATATTCAATTTATTTACAGGCCCATGAATTAAACTATTTTAATAATTAAAAGAATAATTATAATTTTTTTTAAAATATGATATCTGTAAATGTTTAAACATTTATTAATAAATAATTAATTTTTTTTAAATTAAATATTATTTTACAATCACTATAAATCTTTATATTTATATTTAAGAAATAGACTAAACTCGATAATAAAACCAACATCACAACAAAAATAAGAGGCGAGTGATCTAAACGTATGATTTACCCAATAATAAAAGTCTGAAAATACAAGGCGTAAGAGCGTCACCCTCCAAACTAACACGACAACGAAAATACCGACCCATAACGCCACGTGTCGCTCTAAAGGACAGCAGATTAGGTTTTGCCTAACGTGTGGTCATCACGCTCCTCTGCCTGGAAAGACAAATTAACACGAGAAAATAATCATCGGAAGGAAGGTTCTTTTTAATTCTTTCCTTGCCGATAAAGTTGGAGAAGAAGAAGTACTGTTTAAAGATTCTATATTTTTCCCTTTTAGTTTCAATCTATGTCAAAAATGGCTGCAGTGACAAAGCTTCATTTACGTAGTTTCCTGAAAGACCAACCGTTTTCTTTCAAGGAACAACGGCGGAACTGGATTAAACGGAGTCGTTTTCTACTGTTGCCCGTCATAACGAGAAACTCTTATGGTGTGTACGTACAAAGGTGTCGGTCATTTAGGAGAGACGATGGAGGGGAAGAAGTGGACGAGAAAGAGATGGAAAGTGAGGGAAAACATGTGATTTTGATGGAAAATGAAGTGAAGTTGGAAACAGGAGATGGGTTTTGGAAATCTTTGAAATCTGCAGTTTTTGGGGTTAGTAGATTCGGTTCTCGATCTCAAGATGAATATGAAAAAGCTGTAGCTAAAGTTGAGGGAGTTTTCTCTTCGGTGAGTTATATATATAGTTTTAAAGTGAATTTCTCTGTTTGTTAGCTCCCTTTTGACGTTTGCTCTATGTAATTCAAGTTAACTTGGATTGAACCTTTCTGTTTCGCTCATGAACCAGATATCTATGCAAATAGGAAGATATATAGTGACCATGATGAGCACTGGAGTGATACTTTTGACTGGTTTTCAGCTGTCAGGTTAGCCAATTTACATCGTTGTATAGTTGGGGATATATTTAGATGTAAAGACAGACTAAGGATTTTATGTTATGGGTAAGAATTTTATATTATCAAAGGAAATAATTAAATTATAAGGGAATTTAAAATTTCCAAGGAGCGACCCTCTATCTATACCTGATTAGATGCCTAT